GTTCATCTTGGGTGCAGCCCTGGCTGGGCTCTTGTGCTGCCCAAGGTGCATCCATGGAGGCCTTTTAATAAATCCCTGCTTTATTCTTTAACTCTGTCCAGCCCCTATTCTAGGCCAGTCTTCACAAAGCAACACAACCATTGTCCTGCACTGATCCCAGGGCAAGAAGCTGGGACACGAAAAGGGAACTTTAATTACATAGGGAAGGGATAATTAATCATTTTAGGCACATCCTAAAATTTTTAGGCTCATCCTGAAATTTTTAGGCTCATCCTAAAATTTTTAGGCACATTCACTTTCTGCAGCCCACAGTGGGAATTCTTTGCATCTCCAGGGTCCAGGAAAGGATTTCAGCAGTCGCCACTCCGTTCCCTCACAGGAGGGATGGGATAAGGCTGGAAGGAGCCCTGGTGGAGGGGCCTTTCCCCATTACCTTCATCGTGGGTGTCTGAGGAGTCGCTGAGCTCTGTGGGAATGTCCTCGTTGTCATTGAAGTCCAGGGAGGGGGAGTTCACAGGGCCAATGATGTCGATTTTCTCTCCCATGATGTTGGCAATGCCAAGGTCCTTCTCCACAGGACTCTCTGCCACTGCCTCCTCCTCCTCTGGGAGCACTCCATCGAACTGCAGCAAGGACACGGCACAACAAGGCAAGATCAGCACCTGCAGATGGGCTTTGTTTCAAAAAACCTCACATCTGTGAGCCAATCTCTGAATATTTGCCTTTGACATATCTGGGAATTAAACAGAGAGAGGAGGACAATTGCTACACAGTGTTTGTAAAACCTCCTCTCAGAAAATCAGTGTTCAAGGTTTGAGCACCACCAGGATTTTTGTTCAGACAAGCACAATGTTGTCCAATACTGGTTTTGGCTAAAAGAACCTAAAAGAAGTAATATCAAAACAAGGTCTGCTCTGCCATAATTCCAGGAGGGTACACACTATTTACTGAAGGCAGGGAAGAAATTATAACCCTTTTATGTCCAAAACTTTCCATCCAGAAGTACAGAAAGAAAAATGCTCTTGCTGCTGAGAGTCCCAGGGACAAAATCACTGCCCAAGGACTGAAATCAGCAGCGGTGGAAGAGGAGCTGGAGGATGAACGAACCTCATATGACCCATGGGGTGCTGGATTTCAGGGAAAACAAATTCCTGCTGCCAGGGGAGGGAGAAAACTCACCGAGGCTGGGGCTTCACTGCTGCCTGTGGAGGTCAGGGTGCTGGCAGTGACAGATTTCTTTGGCAGCTGAGGGCTGGCTTCGGGCTTGGCCTCCATGCTGCTCTTGGAGGAGCTGTCATTGACTTCATTCTCCTCCACGGGGATTTCTTCGCAGTAGCTGGGACGCCACAGAGAACACAGGTTTTTATGGTTACCCCTCTCACAACAGCTACAGCTGCACACACAGAGCAAGTGAGAATGTTTCTATGAGGTCTCCAGGCTGTCCAGAGGCAGGAATGGCTCAGTGCAGGGGAGAGCAAGCCCCAGCTTTTTGGGTGTTTATACAGGGATTGACAAGCATCAGCATTTTCTGGCCATGCAACACTGCCTGGTCTTGTGACCAGGGTGCTTTGGAATTTCTAGAATTGCTCAGCTGGCTCAGCAGGCATTGCACTCCCTCCCAGTGATGCCTCAGGTTTCAGCTGTACTATTTTTCAGATTCTGTGCTGCTTTAGTGTGTGGGTCTGAGTTCGTATCAGGGGATGGTGAGCTCTGTGCACAGAGCAGGGAGACAAAACAATTCCAATTCCTTCTCTAGGAATTGAGAAGGAATTGTTGACAACTGACCAATTGTCCTTGGTCCCATTGTCCTTGGGGACCAAGGACAATCAATACAAGTTTCAGGCCCAAGAGCACAAACAACACGGACTGAAGACAAAAAAACAAGATGGGGACTTGATAACCTAAAGCTGGAATGGGACAATGAACTGCAAGGTGCAAATGGAGCAGAACTGATCAAAGTGAGAGACCCCGGGAGCACTCGTGAATATTGGGACCATTTTGGGTCCATCCTGGGTTCATTTTGGGACCATTTTGGTTCATCCTGGGTTCATTCTGAGACCATTTTGGTTCATCTTGAGTTCACTTTGGGACCATTTTGGTTCATCTTGGGTTCATTTTGGGACCATTTTGATCCATCCTGGGTTCATTATGGGACCATTTTGGGTCCATCTTGGGTTCATTTTGGTTCATCTTGGGTTCATTTTGGTTCATCTTGGGTTCATTTTGAGACCATTGTGGGTTCACCTTGGGTTCATCTTGGCACCGTTTTGGTTCATTTTGGGACCATTTTGGTTCATTTTGGGTTCATTGTGTGACCATTTTGCTTCATCTCGGGTGCAGCCCTGGCTGGGCTCTTGTGCTGCCCAAGGTGCATCCATGGAGGAGATCCTTTTAATAAAGGGATTATTTAACTCTATTCTTTAACTCTGTTCTAGGCCATCCTTCAGAAGGCATCGCCAGCTTCCATGAGGAACCCTCCACCTCCAGCTTTGCAGGCATCACACATTCCAGAGCCACAGCTTGGCCAGGTCCC